CTGCGGGAGCTGCTGCAGGCGCTGCAGCTCTACCGCGCCGCGCAGGTCATCCTGGACTGTGAGTACCCCGTGCGGCTCCGCGCCGCGGCCACTGCTTCTTGTGCCCGCTGGGCCTCCCCCGCGGGCTCCCAGGCCTTCAACGCCCTCCATCTTCTCCAGCCCCTCAGTGTCATCCCTCCTGCCGGTCCCCACTTGGCCCTGTTTCACACACGCCTTTCCTGCGGCAGGAGGAGCAGAGCTTGAACGCGCTGTGCCTTGTTAACGCAAACCACTGCGTTTAAAAAAACACTGCGTTATAAAAATCACAAGGCCTTTTACAAATCGCCGCACTTTCCGTTTTCATGTGTCATAAGCCCTGCTGCATTTGCAGCTGTCCACTTCTGTGAGCCAGACCGGACCCCGCGCCAGCCGTGCGGCTGGACGTGCTGGCCCCTGAGGACCGCGCTCAGCGCTTCCCTGCCGAGCTGCCCGCGCAGCCAGCACGGGCTGCAAACCCCTCCTCACATCTCTTCCCACCCAAAACGCATCTGTTCAGAAAACAGCTGTTTGCCTGAATTTCACCTCTTATCCACAGAGAATTACTAGAAGGGAAAATAGATTTTTGTTATGTGGCCAAAAATGCTTAGAGAAATGCTGAGACTTTTCCAGGCACGCATGGGAAAGGGCCAAGGCTTTCGCAGGATGGGAAAGGCGCTTCCTCGTGTGTCAGGAGTGCAGCCAGGGTCGCGGGTGGCTGCTTGCGGCCACGTCACCAGCCCCTTGCAACACCGAAAGAGCCGCAGGGAGGCTCCGTTTCCCATGGAAATTCCAGCAGCTCGGCACTGCCTTCTCACCCATGCGGCCCTTTAAGTGGCACTGCTCATTCACCTGCATTGTCCATACTTAGCACAGCATATTCCTACCCTTGCCGGGAGTTTCTCTGTGCTCCCACAGCACCCGGAACCACGTACCGCTCCTCCGGCTCGGTGTTGCTGCCGCCGCCGCCTTCCCCATCCAGGAAGCGCTCGGGGCCACCCCTGCTTCCTGCTGGCCGGCTCAGCCCGCTCCTCGCGCAGCTCCGGCGTTGCTCTGGTCCCGCTTCACACTGTGCCTTTAATCAGAAAAACAAACAGCTGTGTTTCCTCCTGAGAAATGTGAACCCTGAAACTCAAAAATTACTGAATGCCTTTTGAGAGCTACATAAAAACAGCGTGTTTTTGTTTGTTTTTTAATGTATGTAATTCACAGAAAAGCCTGGATTTGTCCATGTAGGCGTGGTGGCTTCTTTCCTGGGTGGGTTAGTTTTGCATTTTTGCAAGTGCTGTGTTCCAAGAGATGCTGGAAACATGGCTTGTAGTAACTAATGAAGTGCTGCTGCATTTACCCCCAGGTAGTAAACGCCTCTCCTCTAGCAGGCCGTTAAAACAAGGCTGCGAGGATGTTTCAAACTGATATTAGTGCAGCAGCGGCTCACATTGCAGCTTCAAGGCAAGCTTTATTTATTTAATTGCAGCTAGCTGCTGCCTGCAAAGCCTGACACTTCAAGCTGCTGTGGGGCGCCGCAGGGATCCCTGTGAGCGCCAGCCTTGCTCCCCTGTGCAAAGGGGGACTGGATCGTCACGGGCAGGACTGCAAAGCCCAGCGTGGAGCCCCTGGGCACACGGCTTACCGGGGTAGCGCGTGAGACGACCTCTCGCCGTGTCCAGCGTCCACCCCGCTGCCAGCAGCGTCTCCTCAGAACACACAGAACGACACAAAACGGTCCCTGTCCCAGGCGTGAGGCTGCTCCGAGCCCCGCGTGCGCTGCGAGCCGCCTCGGCCGCACGAGGGGTGACCCTGCGGGAGCTGCGCGTCCCCGCGCCCCTCCCGGTCCCCGCTGCCACGGGGCTTGCAGCTTTCTCAGGAACGCTGCTGGGCTCTGCGTGCCACCAGCAGCAGGGATTCCCCCGGTGAAAACAGCAGCCGGTCGCTGGCTGCAGGAGTGCGCAACGCTCTGCAGAAAAGCTTGGCCTCTGCAAAGGAGGTTGGCTAATGCAAGTGAATGGTCTTTGCAGTGACTTCTGCTGGGACAGATCAGCCTGCAGGACAGTAAATTGTAGGAAATCAGGGTCACAGAAGGACCTGCTCGATTCAACTCCATCTTCTGGAATTCCCTGAGCGTCTCATTGTGCTTGGGATAAGGAGCGGTGCTTTCTAGCAGGCTGCCTCTAGCCTTGAACAAATCTTTTCAGCCTTTGCTGCTCTTTTCGGCGCTGAGTGTGCTGACTCAGCTGCAGTTTCCCGCGCAGACGTGCAGTGGATGCACTGCCTGCTCGCTGCCTCCTTGTAAGAACAAGTGGTCCTGCCTCTGACAGTCCTTACATCTCCGTGACTCTGCTGTCTGATTTCTGCTGGTCTTGAGTAGTAATTTTTTTGTGGACTCATTTGTGCATAGACCAATTCTGCAGCTTGTGTGGTGACCTCTTTGCTGATGTGCAGGAAGTTGCAAAATTCATGAAAAGCCCTGAACAGATGGGTTGAAAGAAAGGAAATGAATCTCATTTCAGAGGCTTCTAGGTTAAAGGGTTAGGAAAAAAACAACAACAAACAGCAGAGCAGTCCGTTTTGACTGAAGGCCCATAGTCAGTTGATAACTAAAACTAACTAAACTAACTGGCTAAAAAATCCATCAAATTTGAGATTTCATAGCATTCTGGCACAGTACCAAAGAAACATAATGGATTTTTTTTGAGTTCTAATTAAAAGACCTCGTTTCATTCAAACCTGCATTCATGGGTGACATCATTGAAGGAAGTGGATACAAACTCCAGATAAAATTCAAAGCCAAAAGGTTAACTGAGATGGATGCACCCATGTCTACCACCAGACACCCCCACACTTCAAGGACTAGTACCCTGAAACTCTCCCACCTTCTCTTACCTTTCAGTTCTGCTGAAGTTAGCAGGCTGATCTGTTACAAGGCTACAGATGAAATATGCCCCTTCCTGCTTTCGCTCGTCTCAGTCGCCGGCAGAGCTCTGTCTGTACAAAGGAGAACACAAAGCCGTTACCGACAGCTAACGATAACCTCAGTTATAAATGTCTTCATGGGGGGAATTTCAGCTTCTCTTCAGGACACTTTTGACAGCTCCATATGTCAGAATGTCTTGGATTTTTTTTACTTTATATTGTCCCCATCCTAACTGTAGGCCAACCTAATGTTAGTAACGTCCTCTCTGATGCACCTCTTCGTCAGACCCCTGTATGCTGAGAGCCTCTCTGCTTTCCTCTTAAGCGGGCTTCTTGGTTGCTTTTTTCGGGTCTGATTCTGAGCTACCATGACTCAATAGGTTGGCCTTTATTTTTTCCTTATACATCATTTTAAACTTTCTAGCTGTGGCTGTTGTGCTCTTGTCTCCAGTTTGTTTCTTTCAGTTATTAAGTGAAAATATGTTTCTTTATTGAAACTAGTTCTATATAGGAAAGTGTTTTCTGGGATGAGCACAGTCAGGACACTAAAAGCACTCAAAATAACCCCAAAGTGTTCAGCGGATTAAAACCAATTCTGTCAGGCTTTTTCTCAGTTCCCTGACAACTAGCAAAGAGTGAGAGGCCTCTTCTAGGCTGAGATATTTGTGGTTTGAGATCATCAGCCGCAAACTGTTACATGGAAAATGACAAAACAAATAATTATTGTTATTTTTTTGTTATAAGAGACTATATATCTTTTGCATAGTCACGACTGATATTTGTTTCAAATTACCACTTTATTATTTTTCATAGTATATCATATTTAATATCATGCACCTAAAGCGATTCTAAATATTATTATGAAAATATGAATATTAAAATAAAGTTTGATTTTATTTGAATATTGATATCAATTCAATTTTGATAATACTCAAATAAGCATTAACACATTTGTAGTGCTCATTTAAATTTCCAGCTTATTTTCTCCGCACAGTTGATTAAAACCACACTATTTTTCCTGCTAATCTTCATCTTTCTGTGTTTCTCTTTTGCAGGGAAATCAGCCTGTAATCAGCCTGAAAAAAAAGAGCCAGTAGAGCTGCCTAATGAGGAGAATATATCTTTAACTCCCCCGGAAAATAAAACTAAGGGGAGCGACAGTGAGCTGGGGCTGCCGCTGCCGGTCTCCTCGCCAGCAGGCTGTAAGCAGAGGGTGTTGGTGCAAGCGGGGTGTTGGTGCTGGTACAAGCAGAGGGTGTTGGTGCAAGCGGGGGCTGTTGGTGTTGGTGCAAGCGGGGGTGTCAGTGCAAGTGGGGGTGCTGGTGCAAGCAGGGGCTGTTCATGTGTGCGCCGGGACTTCCCCTGCTCTGCTCCCCATGCCACTCATCTCCCCGCCATCCCCGCGCTGCTCCGCTCCCCTCCTCGCCGCCCCCGCGCTGTTCTGCTCTCACGTCCCCGCTGTCCCCACGCTGCTCCACTCTCCTCCCCGCGTAGCCGGCCGGGCTCCCCTGCTCACGGTGCGCGTTCCCGTTCCAGACGCCGGTGCTGCAGGCGTGCTGCGCTCGCTGCCCTCGCCGCCCGCGCCGCCGAGCGCCCTCCTGCTGTCCGTGCAGTCGGATCCTCCTGTCCCATCAAGTGTGAAGGTAAATCCCCTTCGTGCTAGTGGATCATAGCACTGCAAACTGTATTTCTGCCACATTGCATTTCTCCAATTAGAGACTATGTGTAGATTTCCATCTACTCGTATAAAAGAGAGGTCTGCTCAAAAAGTGAGGTCTGATTACAATGAATTTAGCTTCAATACAATACTAACACTTTAAAATGTAAACCCATGGTTTACATCACTTTTCTTGCCAGTGAGGGTCAAAAATAACTATGCAGCATATTGCAAAGCTGAGTGTGGAGAACACACCCACAAATGGCCATTAATTCTCAAACACAGATTTTGTAGGGAACTTAACATTTCTCGTGTGATGATAAGGCAATGTGAAAGCTCAGACTTGTCAGAATGACTTAGATTTATCCTCAGAATGTGCCAGGTTAGTGTCATTTCTAGATACACGGCAGTATCACCATTTACATTGGAAGGGTGGCAGGGGCCTCTGGAGCTCTCCGCCCAGCCCCCTTGAACCTCGTGCAGCTGAGCACAGAAAATGCAGATTGGTAACTATTTTCCAGCCTCTTCTATTATGCAAAGTTTTACTTCAAAGAGATCAAGTCGAGCGTTACAAAACAAAAGGGAAACGTAAGGAGCAATTGCACGGTGCATTTCAAATTTTTTTCAACAATCACTGCGCTCACTTCTTCAATCATGGAAAAGGCAATAGGATGTTTGAAAGGGAAGAAAAGGCATACGAATTTTCATGAAATAAACCTGTTTTTTTCTTCAAATGTGTAGCCCTGCAGCTCTGTCACTCCTCAGCAGGAGACGAGGACTGACCTCCCGAGCGGGAGTCTGTTGTGGACGCAGAGGGAAGTTGCTGATGCCACAGACGGTTTTCGTGACGCAGGCAGGATTTGCCAAGGTGTTTTTGCAGATGTCTACAAAGGTCACAGGCACAACAGAGTCTACATCATCAAAAGACTCAAGGAGGCGAGTGCTCCCGCTTTTCCTTCTTCTTTCTCAAGGGGAATATTTTATTAGCACCCCTTGAACATTAGCAAGTGTCATTTAATATTATGTGGGCTGGGAACCTGAGCTGCTATGCAAAACAAAAGGGCAAAAGGGAAACAATGAGTAATAAGAAACCTAAATTCCACAGACGTGCATGGGGGATATCTTACTCACACAAGTAGTGTTGTTAACTCGACCTGTGGGAGTAGCCCAAGCAAAACAGCTGCATTGAAAATCGGATCAGAGGTGCCTTTATACTGGTGTTTAATTTCCATTTAATTAGTGCACATAACACACTATTATCATTAATGATACTTTCCTATTTTCTGAAGTGGTTTGTCATCTAGCTTTGCATAACAGCCGTGCCTTAGTAATTGCTGTTGATGTCCTATTGCATATTTTTGTTTTTCAGGTGGAATGCACGAGCCCAAACGCAGCTCAGAGGTTGTTTCACACAGAAGTGCAGATCTGCTTTCGGTGCGTGGGTGCCTGTCACCCCTCCTGGCCCGGGGCAGGGAGGCTGCCCGCGCGGCCCCGCGCTCCGAGCCGGAGCCTCCCTCTGCTCTGCAGCCCTCACTAGCACCTTTCTGGGCCTCCAGCTGCTTAGGAATTTATTCCAGCTCAGGAAAGTACTTTCCTGCACTGCTCTCACTTCGCTTGCAAATTATTGTTGATCTGTGTTTGCAGGTGTTGCCATGTTAACATTTTGCAACTACTGGGCTTCTCAGTAGAACCTGGATGTCACTGCCTGATATACCCATACCTGCCTAATGGATCACTGCAAAACAAACTTCATTGTCAAGTATGTCATTAATAGGGGTTCATTATCTGCCCTGTAAGCACACTGCATGAAAAGCAATTATACCTCCATGAATTCTGAGGAACAGCACAAGGAGGTGCCCAGATGTGTTGACTGTTTGTATCAGAAAGGTTGCAACTCTTTTAAAGTTTTTCTGCTGCAAAGCAGATGGGACAGCAAGGAGTTTCTGCTTTGCAGCCAGGTAGCCCACGCTGCAAAATGTGTCTATCATATTGATAATATTTTAATAATTTAATATTTTATTACATCTGGGAATGTTAATGTAGAACACATTGTCATATCCAGCTGGGTCACAAGCCTCCACTGACAGCATAGGGGCTGTGAGGTTTTAGAGGCTCCAGAGAGCAGCTTGTGAAAACCTCACACCTACTGAAGGAGCATTTGCAAAGGAAATCACATGAACCATGAGCAGAGCAAAACAAGTATCAAACACAGTATTATGTCTCAATAATGGCCAATTTTGGATGCTTTGGAGAGGCATGATCTCTGCTGTGTCTTCACCTCACTGTATCCTGTGTCAGGCAAAATGTTCAGTACGTGAGAAGAGGTTCCCTCCTGGGCCTTGAACTCATCAGCTTCCTGCTGTGGACCAAACTCTAGATTTTTGGAGTTCTGGTAGTGATTGCAGTGTGGATAACACTAAGCCTTTGGCTAGCAAAATACTAATGTCTTATAATTTTTATTCTATAAAAATAAAAATACCAATCTTCCTTCTGACTTTCTGGCAGGATGATTCTGCTCCACTGCCCTGGGAGAGGCGCGTCAGCATTTCCACGGGACTAATCCGAGCTGTACAGTATCTGCATAATTTTGGAATTCTTCACGGTAATATCAAGAGGTGAGGAGTTTGGCACTTCCTTGTTCTCCTGTTCATTCCAGGATTACTTTAATACTAATGACTGAAGGCTTATATAATTTTGAAATCACAGACTTGTGGTGTCTTTCTGCTTTCTGTTACCTCTTGTTCTGAAGAGCAGTTACCTTCCATATGTTTCATTCACCTCTCTTTTTGGCATAATAAAAGTATATTCTTGCAGTAATATTCGGGGTGCCTTCTCTTCCCCATCTCCCTTTGTCCCCATTCTTTATTCTGTCCTTCTTACATATCAGGCCAAACACTGCAAGTTGTGTCCTTCAAGTCTTGCTTTAACTGTAGAAATGCAATTCTTCACCTCAAGTTAAAGTAATACCCAACCAGTGATGCTATTTGCCTTTCATTATCATAGCTCAAATGTCTTGCTGGATGAAAACTTCACACCAAAGCTTGGACATTCGGGTCTGCGATGGTGCTCTGCTGATAAGAAATCAGAGTATGCCATGATGAAAACCAAAGTCCTGCAAAATTCTCTTACTTATCTGCCAGAAGATTTTATCAGGCATGGGCAGTTAACAGAAAAAGTTGATATATTTAGCTGTGGTGTGGTAAGTTACCATTTTCCCACGTTCTGTTCCATTGTATGATGCTGACAGGCAGGAAAAAATATATATGAACATCCTTTCCATATACATATTTTGCCTGTGATGTTCCATCATAGTTTCTGATTGTAGAGTGTTATAAAATTTCCGTGTTCGTGTTCATGCAGCAGTAGTTAAATATTACTTCAGTTACAAAGCTAATTTGAAAAAAAAAACCCATAATTTAAATTGTTTTATCTGTCTATTTCTAGGTCTTAGCAGAGATAATGACAGGGATTAAGGCACTAGATGAAGGAAGGCACCCTGTTTATTTGGTAAGAAAAGTAGAAATAATGAGCACTAACCTGAGTGGGGTTGTTGTCCTGAATTGAATTTACATTTACATAAATACAGATTTTTTTTTAGTTGCAATCTGCTTGTAGGTCCTAAAGAAGTGATGTTTAGAAGCCGTGTTGTAGTTCCACTAACATCAATAGTCTTTCATCCCTAAAATAGGAGCAGAATGTATATTCCCATTTCACATATCAGACTCATCAGTGTTGGCCCTAATTATATAGGAGATGCACCAAAATCACTGGTGTTTAAATAAATGCTTCTTTAAGAGGGAAAAAAAAAAGCTTTGTGTTGAAACTCTACTGCATATTTTTTATGTGCCAGAAAGATGCACGTTATGAGCCAGAGTGAGTGGGGAAAGCTGGGTAGGAGAGAACTGCAGGCGTCTCATTATGATGTTTATCAGCTACTTACGCATCACCCCAGTGACTGGAATGGCCTCCCAGCCCGTTTGCCTACGCCGTAATTAGCCCTGTGGTTTCACAAGCAGCCGGGGCGGGCAGGCACCGAGCGCAGCCGCTCTGCACTGCAGGAGTCGCTCTGCGCTGCGGGGCCGGGCTGCACTGCAGGGTCGCTCTGCGCTGCAGGGTCGCTCTGTGCCGCGGGGCCGGGCTGCGCTGCAGGGGGGGCCAGGCTGCGCTGCGGGGTCGCTCTGCACTGCAGGAGTCGCTCTGCACTGCAGGAGTCACTCTGCGTTGCGGGGTCGCTCTGCGCTGCAGGGCCGCTCTGCACCGCGAGGGCTGCTCCTCACGGCTGCCTCCCTGCAGCCCCGAGGGCCATGGGCCGCGGTCCCGCTTACTGCTTCCAAACGCACGGGCCGTGTCCAGATGTGTTCAGAGCAGAAAGGACATGAGGTTTCTGATTATTAACAGGTGTTTGGAAAGTCCTGTGTGAGACTGTGGATTATTTTGTCTGTCTTTAAATGGTCAAATCACGGGCATAAGCGTGCTAGGCCTGCCTCAAGCAGCTGGATCTGCCCTGGGGAATTCAACGTTAGACACACGCAGAGAAAATCTCGGGGCTTTTTTCCCTCTCTGAGGGAAATCTCCTTGAATCAAGCGAGATTTCTAAAGATTTTAAAGTCTGTAAACCTGACCCTAAGGAGCAGTGCAGGAAATATATAGGGAGACTCTTATCTTTTCACTGGTATCAATTGAAATAAATGTCTGTGTTAATTTTGTCTTCACTAATGTCCCTCTTTTTTTTTTAGAAAGATATGATTGCTGATGAAATTCAAATAGTGAAAGAAAACTCATGTTCCAAGGTCAAAAATTTTGAAAAGCTAGCTGCCAAGGAAATATGCTGCAAGTATCTAGACAGGAAAGCAGGACACTTGATGGAAGAGACTGCTGTTGATTTTGCACTGGCCATCTGCTTTTGCCTGAGAAAAAAGAATTCTAACATAGCGGAGGTAAGTATTTTAAGTACAGGAGCAGAAGATTAGTCTCCTTAACATGGAGATAGGAAGATACAGCATTCATGCCTTAACTATTTTGCGTTTTACATGTGGGGATCCAGGGATTGTTCCTTACTCACAGATTCCTTTGTCAAAAACAGGTGCTTGAAATTATAGAAATGGCTGAAAATAAGTTAAGAAAGCATAATATTTGTGGAGACAGCACTTCTGGATTTTCCATGAACACCCCTGAAGAAACAGATGATGAGACAATTAGCCTCAGCGTGGTCGGTGGTTCTTCCCAGGAGAATAAAGAGGACAGGACACAGAGGAAGGCCGGGGCAGGTGCTGATCCCTGCGCGCCTGCAGCTGCGGGCGGCTCGCCTGACATTTACTGTGGCCAAATGGAGAGGGTCCCCTGTGAATCCGACGAATCGAGCAGCTTCCTATGGAATTCTGCAGCAGGGTCCACAGATGAGCTACCTAGCAGCAGTTGTTACAATTCAGAAAATACCACAACCTCCGAGTACGGAAAAAAGCAGGAGGGGCCTGTGAATGGACTCCAGGACAGAAACGAAGCGTCCACCGAAAGCGATGAGACCTTGGGAACGGGCTCTGCTGCACAGAGCACCCTTCAGCCAGGAAACGCAGCCCTTGGCACTCCGTGTTCCGCTCCAGGTAGATCTCGGCAGTTCGGAAGGGTGCGCAGAGCAGTTGGGCACGGTGTCTCCAGGGTGCTACGGCAAAGCTGCTCGTGCTCCTGTTCTGATAAGCACAGTCTAGTAAAAGGGCTCTAATATTATAGTAAAGTTCTTCTTTCTATATAGAAAAAGATTTCCTGAAGTGCTGCATTCTTGATTTGATATTATCAACAAACCCACAAAATATTCTCTGGTTTTCTATCAGATTTTTTTTTCCGTAAACCAGATTTTTTAAAAAAATTATTATCTGTTCCTTAAACAAAGATGGATTTTTTCTCAATATTTCTTTGTTTGTTTTTCAGCATTAGCTGGAGAGACATCTTGGAAAATAAAGATAAATGATCAAAAAAAGAAGCTTATGGAAAACATTTTACTATATGAAGAAGACAAATTAAGCAGTTCTGAACTTTTTGAATCTTAAATTGGATGGATTTATTAACAGTGGCCTTCTCAGAAGAAATAAAGACTGTCTCCTCATTAGAAAGATGGTAAAAATATACCTTTTGAATACAGTTAAGTTGCAGATTTTCACCAGCAACATTAACCCTCTCTGAAGAAAACAAAAGTGATCACATTTGAGATGAACAAGAACATATCTGCTCTAAGCAAATAAAACAAAATGCAACAAATATGCATTAACAAAATGCAACTCTATAAACACCTTCTTTCTTCTCATCTGCAACTTAAACAAAGTATGACAAATACCAACAACTACCAACACCACCAACTACCATAATAATATTCAATGTTCTTTTACAATGCATTTGAGAAAGCATCTGCACATAATCTGTCTCTTATTTAACATCACAGTCCCAGAAGTTACAGAGCAAGCAGTGCTCAGCAGCCATCTAGCAATACTCCTCCTTGCTGTCCTGTTGTGCACAATCTCTGAAGAGACTGGAGGGGGTTTCAATTTCCACAACAAATATTTTGCATATTCTTATTCCACATATGTGGAAAACACTCTTTATCGGAGAAAGCATTTTTATGCAAGTTCTCAAATGAATGCCATTTGACTCTTTTTCAATGTGAATTGCACTGAAAATTTGTGTAAGTTAGTCTGCTCTGTGTCCTATTTTACTAACTCTATGTATATGATGCTTAAGTCTAACTTCTAAGTTTCACTGTCAACAGGTTTAAAACAGTGTTTAGTACTTTGTAAGGATATTTTTGGAAGTTATTTTCTGTGTTCGTTACATGATATTAAGGTCTCTTGCTTCTCGTGGTAATTATTATATATATATTTTGGATTAGGAACAAGATTTTAATTTAAAAACTACTTATTTTTTCATTTGAAATTTGATTTGTTAAATTTCTTTTGGCAATAGATAAATGAATCAGTGAAAGATAAGCTAGTAAATGGACCCGTTTGTGGAGCCCCATTCACTCAGCATTCCTCAAGAAGGAATTTTGGTGTGTCTTGTGGCTTACCAGCAACAGGAGTAGCCCTGGGGTCACCTCTATGATCACTCTGAAAAGACAAAAAAAATAGTTTTGTGTGCTGTCCTATTTATTATCAAGTGAAATACCCTCAAGAAAGTGAGTGTAACTTTTATCATTATGACTATTTATTTTTTGTTTTACTATTTGCATTTTCCACTCTTGTAAGGTCAAAGGAAATACAGGTTTATGATGAGCAAAAAAGAAAAATGTAGCTCAGCACACGGATGAACGTGACTGCTGTCTCAGCAGCATGGGTAATGAGACCCACTGTATGAAACAGACAAAATTCCTTCCAAAGCTCATGGAATATTTGAAAAGGAATGCAAATTTATATGTAATTCTTCTCACTGGGGTTGTGCAGTGGTACAACTTTCCTAGCTTTACATTAGGATTGCTGAGTATGGCCCCAGAGCTTCCATATTTGTGTAGTACCTAGTTTATTGGGGATACTATTATGCACATATAAGAGTATTTTAACTTAAGATCTGAGTATTATAATAATTTACACATTTATCAAGTATTTTTACACTAAAAACTAATAGAATTGCTTAAATATGTGCCTTACATACTGTTGATCTGTTGATATATTTTCCAGTGAGAGATAAATTTTATTAGATTCAAAAAAATAAAAAATAGTACTGACATAAAGAGCATTAAGAGTATGTTCAGATTATCCAAAACAAAAGGGTTTTTTTTTAGATTTCATTGAGATACTTTATGGTGCTGAAAACTTAATATCCATTGGTTTTGATGTTTATGTTTTGGGGGATGTATGTAGACAAAACTACAGAGGCAAATTTCAAAAAATACTTTTTTTTTCTATCCAAAACAATAATTTAGGCACAGTTCTGATTCACACACACACACAAAAAAAAAGCTTTTGTTCTCATTCTAGCACAAAACAAAAATGCTGAAGCTGCAATTGATTTTCTTTGCCTATTTACATGTTACACTTTAAGATATTCCAAAGGAGAATGTATGTGTTTCGAGGTTACATAAGATGCTATATATGAGATACAATGGTCTGCAATGACGGAGTGCTGGGACCCAGCCCTTGGCTCTCCAGTGCAACGTTCAACTTGGCAGATTTATAATCCATTATTTTTTTGTGAATAAAATACTGAAAAGCTGTTTCTGTCCCATTTTTGCTTGATTTGTGTCATGGCAGTTACTGTGCACGGCATACATGGACTATTTCGGTGTCATGTTCTCAAGGAAGCTGCGCCCAGGGACTCTTTCTCAAAAATAAGGGAAATTGCTACTCAGATGCCCTTTTAGCATGACGCTGGGGTAAGGGCACAGTATATTAAACAAAATATATTAAAAACACATGTATTTAAAAGAGTTATCACCCCCACACTTCTTCCCACCCGCGCGCTCTCCCCGCCTGCAGGCTGCCCCCTCGGGATGGCGGCGACGCAGGCTGAG